AAACGGCAGTATGGCTCTCGATGAAATTTGGCATAGATGTAGAGGATAGTCAGAAGAAACACACAGGCTATTCATTTTTTTTCCACGCGGACGGAGTCACGGGCAAAAGCTAGATATAATACGAAAGTTTAGATGGATGTTTGTTAAGGTTTTTACCTAAATGCCTATACGGCTCTCGATGAAATTTGGCATAGATGTAGAGGATAGTCGGGAAGAACTCACAATTTACTCATTTTTTTTCCACGCGGACGGAGTCACGGGCAAGAGCTAGATATAATACGAAAGTTCATATGGATGGATCGATGTATGATTGTTAAGGTTTATATCTTAAACTGCTAAAAAGATCTCGGTGAAATTTTTCATAGACGTGGAGGATAGTCTGAAATAACAGATGGGCTACTTGCTTTGAATCCCTCGGAGACGAAATCGCGCGTAAAAGCGTGTTATTTATATTCTAATTTTCAACCAATGTCACATAAACTTTGTTTGATAATGTTAGAATAAACGGTTTTATTTTCAAGCGAAGCGCCTGAGTAAATATGACCGGTTGATTTGTTCATAGTTTTTTTTTAAGTCTATTCAGAGCGCTAGATTAGCGAGAAAAGTGGAATAAACGATGTTTACGAATGATGACTTTTTAATTTTAATATGAATTAAAAGACTTTTTTAATGCTTTTTCTTTAATTTAAAAAGAATAAGTACTTTCGATCTCATGATCAACAAAAGAGTAAGAGCGCGCGCACATATTTGAATAAACTATCGCACTACTGTTTAGCTGCGCTTTGATTCCTGTGAGCTTATATGTAGGTGCGCACACTACTCGATTTTTAGTTGTGCAACTAAACAGTTGCATCGATCGCACGACCGTTGTGCGATACTTTAGTCAAAGATGTGCGCCCGCTCTAAAAACAATTAATCAATAGCCAGATAATTTGTCACACGTTTCTCAGAAATTTAACAACAATGTGAAAATTGCATCCGACAGTTTGTTTCTATGAAATTATTAATGAATTTTCTTCCGTCTCTGAAGGAATAACAAACTGTTATAAAGTGCCTTTACATTTCAAACAAATATTCCCAGGAGGACTCAGATGAAATGTACTAATTACGAGATATCACTTAAATTTAAAAGGTATTTGTTTTCACAAATTTTACTAACATTACAAACTAGCTTTCGCCCCGGAGTCCGTCCGTGTGGAATTAAAAAAACAAAACTGAGTAGCCCATGTGTTCTTCCAGACTTTCCTCTACATCTATTCCAAATTTCATCGAAATCTGTGCGGCCGTTTAGGCTCCAAACCCTGACAAACATTCATCCATCCATCTAAACTTTCACATTATAATATTAGCAAGATTAGTAAGAAGTAGGATTAGATGGATAGATGGATGTTTGCTGAACGGATTTGGATGAAATTTTGAATAGATGCAGAGCATGGAAGAACACAGACTACTTACTTTTGTTTTTTCAATTCCACGCGGACGCAGTTGCGGGCGTTAACTAGTACTTCATTTTTAAAGGTGGAAGTTACAAGTGTGTAACATTGTTTTTTTACATGTTTTAGAACTTTATTGACTTCAGATAAGTAGTTATCGATTGCTGTGCCGTCTTGACATTTGCTTATTAAGCAAAGCCTCAAGTAAGTATGCTCATATAACTGGGAAGCTGAAAGTGTACTCGTGACCTAATTCTCGAAGTGCCATATGAATGTTGCTAGTTTTAAAGCACTTCAACTAATAAATAAAACTTAAACTAAAAAATTTAACTTATTTCTTAATGATTTAAATGCTTGGGATCTGATTTTTTAATTAACATCTGGATTAAATTAATTTCAATTGTAAAAAGAAGATACTAAGGTCCTGTCGCACCAAATTGTAAATTGTCTGATAATCCAACAGGTAAAATATGTAACGGAAATATCGGATTTTGTTCCCTTATCTGACAGTGGCTTCATTTTAACCCTTAAATGCATATTGTTGCCAAAAGTCTACAAACAAAATTATAGTTTTTATTGAAACCCAAGATTTTTTAGATTATTTTTCCCTTAATCTGTGTCTCAAAACCTATACTGAAATATTGATTTTATAATTAAATAAAAAATCATGCATTTAAGGGTTAAAGCTATCTGAGTCTCTATCAGATAAAGGTGGAACAGGTCTTAAACTTCTTGAAATGTTGATTTCCTGACGGATAGAGTTGTTTTTTATATATTAATAGGTTCTTAAGTTTAAATTAATATCTATCAAGTTATATTATATTTAATTTACATGAAAGTAAACAGTTAGTCACTTCAATATAGTTATCGTTTAAAAGGATATTAAAATAAGTAAAATACCCAATTTAACCAACCCTCCAAAGCGGGGGTTTGCCACGAGCGATTTAATAGAATCGAGTATAAATGAAAATATAACATCGAGAGATTTTCTTACCAATCACTGTCGAAAAATTGTTTATTTCATTTTCATGTAAATGTTATTTTCTACTCGAACGTAGCTCATTATTTTATGTCAGTTTCAGATGTTATTTTCCGCTTGAGGATTCAATAAGATAATGTAAATAAAAATGTTAAATATATTAAAGTAGCTGCGATAAAGCGCTGAGTATGATCGATAGAATTAATTGCTAACTGGTAACGTAAGGAGAGGCATAGACACCACTAACTTAGGGTAGGCTCGAAGCCCTTTTGTGGGGATGTATATTGAGCTGGTGATACGATGTGTTAAGATAATAAAATCGGTGAAAACTTCCCTATTGTTAAGGTTTCTTTCTCAAATTTGTAAAGTAAATTTAGTAGATTTTTATTTTTATTTTAAGGATATTAAAACAAATATAACATATATGTAACTAAATTTGTTGTTAATTATTTATTATTTTTAATCCCTTAAAGTCTGTATTTGTTTATAAATTTATGTGTATTAAAGATATAGCGATAAAAGCTTTGTTTTATTTCCTACTCAAAGTAATAAATGGGGCATTTGCACGTTCCGAATTGCAGGCGCTCTTTAGCACGTACTGCTCGTATACGCAATACGATTTATTTCACACAACATATACTATTTCAAAGATATTGTATAGTTATGGATATTTTTACGGGCGTGAAGTGGAAGCAATTCCGCGTTTCGTCTGATGAGTGTGGTGCCGGAGGCATAATTTTAGTCCCTTTTCCTTTCCACTATTTTCATAAGAGGAAAGGAAAAGTTTATTTGACAGTGGAGGAGACGCATAGGAATAGGAAATGTCCTCTTTAAGTGCGTCTCCTCCTCCGTCAATTTAGGCAACGCATCTGTAATTGCGGATGTTTATGGGCAGCGGTCGCTTTCAATTTCGGTGGATTCAGATAGCCGCTTGCTCGTTTGCCACCTTATATTATAAAAAAATATTTTACAACATATTTCTTGTAAAAATTCTACAAAGAATAATAATGAATTATTATCCCTTATGAAATATAAAAAAGGAACTAAAAACAGTAATTAAAATATCTATTGAAAATTAATGAAGATCCTTTGTTTAATACGACAGAGCAATAGTTGTTAATTAAAAATACTGTAATTAAACAATTTATTATTTTATTAAAACCATTAATCTACGCCACTTCTAGTCTTATCTAACTCTACGTTTGAGTCATAAATAAGCAAAGCTGTGCATTCTACTCACGCACAACTTGATCGTAATTGAAATTCCCTGAAAGATTCTAATCTTATGAGAGAATGAGATCAAATAAATCGCATTGTTGAAGGCTCGTTGATAAAATCGATTGCCTTTATATGAGTAATATAAAATAAAAAATAAAAATTATTATCGATACTTAAACTTAAGGGTGTTTGCACAAACGAAATTCAGGTGATAGTACCGTTCACTGGTAGAGGCAGAAAGAGATGTATGGATTGCGTGTAAGGTGAAAGGTGACATGATCAAGAAGGGAGCAGTAGAAGATAGACTTACCTGGATGACATAAACCTGTTACGCCCCTACTGGAATAGGACAAGATGGGGAGATAATGATGCAAATTAAGTATTTTATCTAAACAGCCGCCCAACTTTTTAGTCTCGCTATGATTCCTATGAGCTTATATGGAGGTGCTCTACTCGATTGTTAGTTGTGCAACTAAACAGTTGAATTGCAGCAAAACAATCGACAATCGCTCAACAATTATGCTATAGTTTAGTTAAAGGTTTGCGCCAGCTTTTAGTCTTTGAAGATTTAGGTTTTATATTAAGTAGAGATGTGTTTATTTTATTTCTAACCTCCATTAGAATTTAACGCCTTCATCTATTCCTGCAATATTTAATTTAATCATCTAAAGTTGATAAGAATTCTTAAAGGAATAGGTTCTGAACTTACGAGACGAATTGCGGAATTCCTTCCACTTCCCGCCTGTCTTCTTTAGTCTTGGTAATTTACTGGCTCATTATAGCAGCTAATGCTATCGGTCCATAAATTTAATAATAAAAACATAAAAACACTAGCTGTTTCATGTGACTTTGTTCACGTAGAATAAAATATAGTTAACGTTACTCAGCGATAACTTAACTTTTTTATGGTGAGATATTTTTAAAAATCAGCCTAATTGTTTTTGAGTTATTTCAATACATACGAAAATACAAAACTATCCTCTTTAATAGTATGGATATAAAAATCAAACAACTTGTTTCTAGGCCATTATTTTATTTGTTAAATTAATTATTTCACAATAATTCATTATTTTTACATAAAGTAATTATTTAAATAAGATACTACACAAAATAATTATTTTTAATTAAATAAAAAAAGCATGTGCGAATCGTATTTACAACTAGGCCTGATAATTTTAATAAATATTATGCAACTACTGCTTTCATACAAATATTATATTTTATCTATGTTTTAACAAAGTCTTGGTTAATCAAAAATAAAGATTACTTGTATTGCTTGAAATAATTTTATTACATTTATTTTTTAAAATGAAAACCTAAGTATGGTATTTACATACAAATTTAATTTTCACATAGATTTACACGCAATATTTAGACAAAACATTAAATACATATTTATGTCTAAAATAGTTTAACAATATTTGTAATTGTAATAGTTCAGTTTTATTCTTCAGGCGCTTTAAACCAGTGTAGGTAATTGTAATGTCTCAGGTAAACTGGTAATACCAACGACTTGACTAGAACATTGCTTGTGAGCTTGACCCGCCTTTGGCACCAACACTAGTTGTTCGAGATCTCCCTGTGAACAAAAAATACCGTTAACAATTACAATATTTAGAGTATGTAAGTGTTAAGGTTTAAGTAACATAATAAAGTAATCATTATATTGGATCTATCCCTCATATGCTAACTAGGGCTTCTTTAATAAAAGGAGTTTCAAATTGTAACCGTTCTCACTTAGTCATTTAAGATAACCCCTAAGTGTACGTTTAGTATGAGAAATCATATATCATATAATCATATCATATCATATATGATTCATATAAATATCATAAATGCGAAAGTTACGATGGATGGATGGATGTTTGTTAGCGTTATTAGTCTTAACGGCTGAACGGATCTCCATGAAATTTGGCACAGGTTTAGAGCATAGTCTGGAAGAACACATAGGCTACTTTTTATCCCGGGAATAGTTTTTTAATGTTTACTCTATCTTTTTGCAACGGTTCAACATATCTTATTGAAATTTGGCACAGATATAAAACAAAGTCTGTAGTACATATGGGATAAGGTTCATCTCCAAGAAATGTCCCGTTCCCGAGGGATACGTAGCTTTTTGTTATTTATATAGTTCGTATGTTTTCTAATACCACGCAGACGAAATCACTGGCAACAGCTAGTCTAATATTTAACTGAATGACGGTTATTATTCTAAAATATCTCTTGAATACTTTGGTGTTATTTTTTCACATAAAAATGCGGTCGTTTACGACGCATTACGCCTCAATAACATATTTAATAGGGTTATTTCGAGGATTACATCATTATTTGCGGCTACGAAAACGTCCATATGAAAATTTAAAGTTGAGTTTTCACGGCACGTTATGAAAACAGTCGTGGACTATCCTCTGACCTATATTATTCGTAGAAACAATTACAACTGTTTTTTTTTTTTCGTTTTGTTAACATTGTTGATATACAAGTGGTCGATAGTGGAAACTCATCGCAGCGAAAATAAATTAGTGACCCACTGTTAATCGTACAGTGCAGTATACATATAAGATTGAAAAAAGTGTCTGTTTATGCTTGACAACCGCAAGCAGAACACTGTGGAAGCCCACCTTTACAGTTCAAAATTAATCCGGCCCACCCAGTCCCGGGGTGCTTTACGTGGCAATAATACCTTTTTATATCACAATGGTTATTTGTGTACACTTATGTATTCAATGTTTGTAGTATGAAATGATTAATTAATAGATTTTTATTAAATGTCAAATGGGGTATAGCACGAAAATTTGGGTGAAAGTATTAGTAACGTAATCGAAAATAAATTTGTGAAAGTTTGTGTACTTTTTGTCCTTGAGGGGCATTGCACAAATCTAATACGAATTTTATCGACGATTTTATGAAATACTTTCAGGTGAATTTTCGTGTCATGTCCTCTACTCTAAGAATATGTTTTCAATATCATCCTTTTTCACAAAATATCAAATACAAGAAAAACAATTTACTTGATACTTCGAAAAATCGTTCACAGTCAGTGTTAATTTACGATGTCCCTCGTGCACGGCTTCTGATTTTATTTAATAAAGCTTCCACTTACCGAGAAAAGATAGCCTATAATGAGATCGGCGTCTGTCGGCGTGTCCAAGGCATCCTTTTCAAGGACATCTGTCCTCAGCCAACGGCAGTCGACGTAAACACGGACCGTATTATCGTCGTGGACGCTAAGAAAATACAAACAGAATTAAAAACTTGATTCCTCCGCTTGGGAGCTAAATTAACTTTGAAATATTTGACATAGACCTCTCTATGTTTATAAGGTTTTATTTAAAACTGGATTTTAATATATTTTTGTTTAACACTTTATATAAAGACAAACATTTGTCGTAAAATTATAACTAATTCAACTATAGTAAAGTAAAATAATACATTTGTGCTTTAATCCAAATTAATTTGATAAAAATGATACGCGCGGAAAGACAAAATTAACACAATATCTTCACATTATACGACAAAAGACATCGCGGTTATCGCACAATTTTCTAACCCAAAACATCCTTAGGGAACTGGGATTACCTGATAAGATTTTTTTATATAAAAATGTTGAAAAAACTTACCTTATAGCTATATGATGCCAACGAAAGTCATACAATGGTACCGCGAGATATATGGAGCGTGAGAGGCCGGCCCCGGCATGGACTAATCTGGCCGCGCCGCGCCCCGCCAGCTCCAGTGACAGGAACGAACCGGACCGTCGCCGGGACCGCAGAGAAAATAGTGTGCCTTGACCGTAACCACCGCTCTAGAATTAAAAAGGATATTAGTTATGATAGAAGCAAAAGAGATACGAGTCAGTAATAGCAAAGCTACCGATACATTAAAAAATAAATTTAGAAGAAGTATGGATAAAAAAAATCTAGCAAGTTTTTAATCTCACAAAACTGATTTATTTAAATTTGTACTCCAATACAGTTATTAAGCGGAATTGGACTTCGAGACCAAAGATCACATCAGTCTGGGAATCGTTTTTTACAAATATTTCAGAGACCATATTCATGCTTGTAAGAAAAGTATTACCGTTTTAAAGTATTAAGTGCTTTTAAAATAATATTAACTTTAAAATACTTCTGATTTCTATAGACTATATATTAAAATAATACACTAACCTCTGGTCTTAATCTCAAAGAAACAAATAATGTGAACTCCGATGGAAATGTTCTTCCAGCAGCAAATAATTCTGAAGAAGCGATCCATATGTAGGAGTTTGGTCGCAGACTGAATGCATGAGGTCGGTCAGGAACTGATCCCCAACGTGCTTGTGTAGGGTGGAAGTTTCGTCTAGCATCGGGTGCTAGAGGATTTATTGTTTCTAAAAATTTATAAAAGACATTAAATCTAATTCTTCTAAATCTAAAAATTGGAAATCAATTTCTCCGACTCTCGCGTTCAACATCGTGAAAGTATTCATTACCTTTGGAAAATTGAAACTAGCTTACTTGTGACAATATTGTCTGACTGAACTTATGACTAAGTTAAAATTTTGTTGGTGCCTGAAAATTTTGATTTCTGTGTACAGCATACATATTTAAGCACACATTTCCATCGGCAGCTACAATATTTTACTCGCTGTTATTTTCCATTCATTTGTAATATTAGTATGAATTTCTATGATCGAATTTCTTGACTTTTGTTTTCATAAACGGCGTATAGACAATAACAATTTAGATAATACTAAACTATGGGGAAACTAAGACCAATATTTAAAAGGTGTCTTTAATATTTATTACCTGTACAACCAAAAGAGTTACAAGAACGTCCTTGTTCACCATATCCTTCGCACGATGCTTTCGAACAATATCTTCTTCTGATTTGTTTTCCTCCTCCGCATGTTTTACTGCACACACCCCATTCTCCCCAGCTCGCCCAACCTGATTGTTAAAATTAATATTAACTTCTAATAAATTTACTCGTAAATTCACAGAGTTTATTTCTTGGGCTTCTTATTTTAAGCTATCAATTACAAAACATTGGTGTTTTAAATACCGTATTACTTTTATTAGAAGTTATCATTGAAATCGACATAAAATGAATTTTATCGGCAAAAATTACATCAATACATGAACATCTTATAGGTCTATTTACACAGCTACTTTTAAAGATGTATTTGCAAATATAAAAACACGAACCAACTGCATTCCAGATAGCAATATCGACGCCTAAACTCCAAGGAACTGCAGCAGATGTGGCCTCCAACCAAGGTCCGTCAGCAGGCGTCGTCTCTAAGTCTTCAGCAGGATCACTGATTCTTGCGAAGATGATGAACTCGCTCTGTGATGGAGCCATACTCCAGTTGAAGCATCCTTCTATTTGTGGGCTCACTTTTAGATTTACTTGCCTAGAAAATGGTTTGATTTTAATAAACGTGCGAAATATTTTTACTCAGGACAATATTTTTACTAGCTAAAATATTCAGGTTAAATAGTTTTTATAAATTGTACAATTTTCTGTCTCAATCATGTATTATATGTCTTATATTTTTGAAGATACATTTAGATTGTATTAGTGGAAGGTTTTTTGGTATTTAACCTATTTTATAAGAATAGTGCCCAACTAGCAGAGCGACAACATTTTAGAAGATATGATTGCTTCTTGAAGGACCCTAAGTTGTACTGTTTGGAAGTACCGATGAGGACAGAGAACAGGGAACCAGAATGTAGCCAAACGAGAATGAGAGACGGCAAATTAGTAAGCTAAATATAATCAAAATTATATTATTCAACTAATTGTGTAATATTAAATCAGTATAGTATTTGTCAAGTTACGTAAGACGAGTGACAGAGTTGCTAAGTATTCGTATCACGCAGCACTTTTGCTGAGAAAATTTAATTACACGGATCGCGATCTCGCGTAGAAGTTTGTTTGTTTAATTGAGTTCTCCGCTAATCTTCAGTAGCTCTCACGAGTTCCAGGGAGTGCAAGTCACAGACGGGGGAGTCCGAACTTCATTAGTGGTAGAGTACGTGTAACTCTGATTCTTTTGCTACGAATGGGATAGATGATAGTGTAATATTATGGATGGTTTGTATGAAAGTAGATACGTAATGAAAATTAATTGAGATATGACTTTGATAGATAAGAAATAGAATTATTTAAAACTCTTTAAAGTTAATGTAGAAAATCTTTTCTTTAAGATAAATGAAGATGAGAAATTCCTTCATCATGTAATAGTAAAAGTGATTGAATAATCACTACGATTTACATATTTTAGTCCCTTTCCTTATCCACCCTTTTCTCATATGGTAGAGTTGAAAAGAGAAAGTAGATAGAGAAGACATAGGAAGAGTAAATATTCTCTTAATTGGCGTCTCCTTCAACTCCTTTAACGCACGTGCAATTTTGGACATCTGTGGGCGGCGGTTGCTTCGTCATTTGGTGGATTCAGTTGGCCGCTTTCTAGTTTGCCACCTTATGACAAAAAAAAAAACTTACCTATCAGTTGTATTGTACGGAGAGCCTGAGTACTGACTAACAGACGCCAGCTCCACACCTCCTCTATATATCGATACAAGTGCTAGATCTAACGTTTTACTCTGAAACAAGAAGTCTGTGTTATAATCTATAATTGACAATGTTACTACTTGTACAAATACAGCATTCAATAATATGTAAACGGAAGTAAAGAAAGTACGTTGTATGTATGACAAGAAACAAACAAAGAACTAATGGAATCAGAATCGACTTGACTCTATGCGGGATAAGTGTAAGCCGAAAGCCTGTGGAGAAATTGATAAAAACAAAAACAGATGTTGTAAAATGGCTACAAAACAACAGAACTTTTAATTTTTAGGTTGGAATATTGAATTAACCAGACGCTAAAAGAGTAAATAAAAATATTTTCCTACTAAATGTAAGCATATTAAATCTAGAATTCGTCTCGTATATCAAAGTCAACTTGAATATATTTTAGTATTATAACAAAGGAGTAAGGATAAAATAATATCATCTCATTTTCTAGAAAAAGAACTTCTCAACTACAATATTTATTATAAAAGTAATATATAAGTTTTCTACATTTGCCGTTCTGATGTAATATATTGTATTGTGATGACAAAAGTCATAACACAGTCGTTTGCACATAACATGTATTTGAAACCAAAAACTTATGATACACGCAACAAAAGCTGTATACATACTAATATAATAAAGGGTAAACACACACTACTTTTTGGCGGAGGATGTCAGCATATTTTTGAATAATTCTTTCTTCAATAAAAAGCCCTACACTTACCACACGCTTTACGCTATATTTTAACGCTCTATTAAACTTAAGGGGTAAATAATTTGGAAAAACCTCCATGTGAGAAAAGGGACAATAAACTGCAAGCTGCCAACATCAAGCAAGCAAGGTTTATTTATGCATGTAAATATTGACATTTGACAAATATACGCAATAAAATAAAGTTATTATAACTTTATGCGGATAAGCACGAGAACAGCTAGTTACTTATGTAAGCTATTTAGCGTTTGTATTAACAATAATTAAGCACTTTGTTAGCTTTTAGTGTTAATCTAATAATTTGTATCGCCTATAAAATACAAGCCAATATTAATATTGTTAAATTTTAGTATCCAATATTCGGCTACAATTTGATAGCGTAATTTCAGTGCCTTGAGAGATTTTGGGGTTTAAACGATATTTATGAAAGACATAACACGTCTTACTAAGCCCAAATATGTTTTAAATTGTACAGTTAGCGGCATAAACTTATAAATTTGCAAAAGTTTAGAAACTTGTATAGAAATTCGTTTTCATAATTATTATTCATAAACAACTTCAATTCGTAGTCAAAAGCATGCAGATGGATTTATATTTTAAAACCAAAGGCGTATATAACTTTCTGAAGCTTCCTAAATGTGTAAACATTTATGCAGCTGACTGTACTATTAAAGGTTTAAAATTTACTGATTTTAATGCAACGTTGAATCATTCACAGGTACCTTTTATTAGCATTTATGAGTCTCGTTTCGTTTTAAATATAATGATATACAAATTACATTTACTATAAAGATATATCTTATTAAATAAAATAAAATAATAATTATCATGTCCATCTGCCCACCACTGGACAAAGGATTTGTATTTTTGTATTTACAGAAATAACTGAAAAACTACTTAAATTTTTTTGATAAAAAATTCGTTATCACTGAACATAGGCTATATTTATTACAATTTTTATTTAAATGTGGACAAAGACGCGAGCAACAGCTAGTATTAATTTAAAATACATACATACAAATATACAATATTGAATTATCATATACAAATATTATATTTTTATGTAATACGTAAGTTAAAACGGACCTCGTATTAAAGGGTGCGGAAAATCCCTTTCAATCCGGGCACAACGCTCATCAAAGAAATCCATTATATAAATTTATAGTACGGAATATTCTGGGAATCCATTAGTACTGAATTACTATCGATTTAATGTTCGCTTTTGATATTAAATATAGTAATATAATATCGTAATATCACAATAAGCTCCTTCGTTCGGCAATATTAACCAAGTTTATTTATTAAATTTAAAATGTCAAAATTGTATGACAGTACTTGTAATTGTACAGCTATTTTTCTTTAATTGAAATTAGAAGATGGTGAAGAAACCTTCAATGTTCAAACGTTCTATTAAATTAAACACTAGCTTTTACTCCCGATATTAACATGAACTTTCTTCTAGTAATAAACATTACCTATTTTATTCAGTGATAACGTAGCGTTCTAATGGTCATCATCCACGTGCCCTTATCCCTTATGAAGGGTCGGCACAGTATGTGCTGCTCTTCCATACATCTCTATCAGCCGTCATATCTGAATCCACTCCTTTCTTAAGCATATCTTCCGTAGCGTTCTAATGGTAAAAGAATTAAAATCGGTCCAGTAATTTTTGGGTTTATTCCGTTACTAAAATATTTTTTTTAGTAAGAAAAGCAGCAGCCCATAGTACTTTTTTAATTTCAGTATGATTGTGTGCTGAATAATAATCAGTTCTCATCGGGAATAATTTAATGCCGGACTGTATAACGAACACTGATTGCATTTGCATTTAATTTGAGTTTAAAATAAAATTTTGTTTTCATAACACATTTCGCGGTGACGTAATAATTCGTCTCGTTTATCAACGCATTACGTTCATTATTTCATTTGCTGTTATTTTGATATTTGCCTGGCTACATAGATTGCAATAAATAACGAATTGGGTCCTACATTTGTAGTTTTTACAACACAATACGTGGTAAATATTGGTTTCGGATTTTGTATTTTTTAATTAACTTATTTTTACTCCAAAATGGCTTAATTGCCAAGCTTTTTGCACTCTCAAACTTAATAAAAAATGTACAGAAAATACACTCTAACAATGCGTCCTTAAAACCTAAATCCGACGTCAGTAATCGTTATAAAACTATTTTTATCTTTACATACTTATCAAATAATATTAAAATCTGTCAAAGCCGGAGTTCAACACGCCCATAGCACGTATCTTTTGTAATTAAACATATCCTAAACTCACCTGACAATGTGCTTGTATAACGACCGCTCTAAAAACAATAGAAGCATCTTCAACTCTCGTCTCCAGAGGCTTTTCAGCAAACTTCGGACATTGGCTGTCACAAACTATAGTCTGACACAAATATAGAACAACAACCAACAGATGCCTGTTAGAAACTCCGCCCTTTTTCGGACAGAGTATCCGGGAAGCCATTTTAAACATCATTTCTTTCACCTTATATTTTCCAAAGTACCGTCCATTTCACAACACTCAATTTTAGTTTCCTTTTTCTCTGGCGTTTTCTCTTTTGCATTGTTTATCTGGAACAAACAGAGACGAATTTAATAACATGGTACTTTGCACTTTTATTACTGCCACTGCCACCCTGGCTTGAGTTATGTTGTTTTTATTGTTATAGTAAGTTATTACTTACTCGATATAAAAGAACAAAAGAATTAAGCATATGCTTACAATTTTGAATATAAAATAGATCAATTACTTGTTCCATCAAACACATCTTACTTAAAACTCGCATTTTTAATTTGAGATCAGGGCTACCACCTCTTTAGTAGTGCAATAAAATAAAAATCTGTATTGCCACATAGAAATTAGTACCAATTAAATAAAAAAAAAACTTGAAGTATTTAGAGATTAAAACATCCCAGCATTCATTTTTAACAAGTTCTTTGGCAGTTGTTATGTTTAACATCTAGGTCTTCGAAACATAGTTAATAACTGGCTGTTACCTGCAACTTCGTCCATGCAATATTAAGACAAAAAAGTAGCGTATCATCGACATCGGTTTAGCCCTTTCGGAGATTACCCGGAACAAACGCGGCTTGCGGACATACATACAAACAAAACAAAATTAAATGCTATTTTCGTTATCAGCAACGCAAATTGGATGGAATCCCGACGTTTGGAATTTTTCTTTTGATATTACAAACAGGCATTCCAATTTCAATACATGTATATATATAGATAGTATAGATAAACAAGTCACTGCACGTTGTTTTTTTTTTCATCATCGACTAATTAAGGGTTGATAAAACACTAATCGCATAGTAATTGACAGTGTTCGTTTCTTAGTTTTCTGTAAATGGCAGCCCTAGTTCCTTAAGCCTCAAAGTGTCTCCGTTCTCGCATTCTCTCTTTAGATAAGAGAATGCTTTACACACTAGCACTAAATAATGCGACGCTTCGCACTCCCGGTGGTATACTGCGAGATAAATTAACCATTTCACTCGTGTTTATTCTTTATGAATGTGGGATATTTTAATGTATTAACAATAACCAAAACAACTGTTTATTTACTCCGAGAAGGTTTCATACAGTCAAATTATTTCACATACAATTGTATGTTTATTTATGTATTTATTTAGTATGTTAATTCTTCCCATATATCTTTATTTCTTATTTTACATTACATTTGATATAAAAATAAAATAAAATATATTATATAAAAAATAGAAGTCCACCGGCTACGGAATCCGATGATTCAAGCAACCAGTGGTCAGTGCTGCAGAGACAAGATCCTCCTCACTATTCGTGTGGTTTCTAAAATAACCGCCTTTTGAATCGGGCCCTTAATCCAACTGTCTAGCGAGAGCTTCTTGAAGGGTTGGTCGAAGCTCTTCGCTATTAGAAGTATATTTATTGTTACAATACGAAATACACGTATTGGTTTTAAAGCAAATCAAATAATTCCTTTTGTTGGTTTTATATCCAAATAAGTTTTAACGATGTACAGAAAACTTAAGAAGGTAGAGGTAGACCTAGAAAGATATAGATGGATTACGTGACAGGTGACATGAACGAGAAGGGAGTGATAACTGAGATGACGGAGGACGAACACCAGGTGCGCCGACTCTGAAGGAGTATGAGGTAGGGGAGATGATGACGACAGAAAACTTCATTTCATTTAAAAACACACACATTCCTTATCCCAAGAAGGTAGAGACGACTGAGATAAGGGGAGATGTACAGAAAAAAGAAATTAGGGGAAGGTTGTGAATTTTCATTTGTTTTTTGTTTTATTTCTGCTATTGCAATTATATTTGAACTGAAAAAAAAAGTTTTACTTTGTATCACAAACGATGTAAGCGATGGCAATTGCTTGTTTCGAATACAAAGCGAACGAATACTAGACACGGGGCACAGTAACCGTTTTTGTAAAACATAGAAGCAATAGCTTAAAAATTTTGATGTAAAAATGTTCAGTAAAAGCTTGAAAGAACGGCCAAACCCAATACATTCGCAATCTGGAAAATTGCTTTATATGTATATATTACAATATTTTATATATCTTAAAGAAAAGGTTTGATCGAAGCAAAAGCCAGCCTACATTTGTAAGGTGTAAAATAAGCTTGTGGTAAATTTTTAAAACTCTTAGGGCCTGTCCCACCAAATTGAAATTGTCTGACAACAATCCAACGTGTAAAATATGTAATGGAAATATCGGATTTTGTTATCTGACAGTGACAACTTGTTAACCTATCTGATTCTCGGTCAGCCAGTGTTGGGACAGGCCCTTATTCGTCAGTCATACAAATAGGTTCTAAAGTAAAGTAAACTATTATATTAAAGTACATGATAAAATAATGTAGATTTTACGAGATCTAAATTTGTTAAACTGACGATGAAGATAAATGAGTTAGTAGTTGAACAATAGATGGCGTCCCGACATCAGCAATAAAACAGAATATTGTTCTCAACTCCTTGATTCAAATTTATTATATGAAAAGCACTTCGGTCGCCGCCTTTGTTTCCGAGGCCGTTGTTAACAAATCAGTCGGAACGTTCGCTGTATTGAAATTTTGGGGATAAATGTCTTTGCTCGCTCCTGCTTTGTGTTGCGGCGATTGTGAATTCGGAATCCACTAAATTGGACACTCGAATGAGACGGAATTTACGAGTCGATTGATATATAGACAATAACAGAAATATTTGTACTATAATTATGATCAAAATTGACAATATTAGATTGTTAATTAGTCAGTAGACATGAGTATTACGTGAAACTATATAACAAATAACCGTGAAAGATGAATAATAAGGTAGAACATAAAACATACCAGCTACAGGAGTATCAAAACGGTTTATTTGATACCAAAAGTGAAGCAGAAGCGATAAGCTGAAAGATTTGAATAGACCAAGATATATTCCAATGAAATATCAATTGTGTAACTATAAATAAAGAAATACAAAAGGTAAAATATTTCCCTGTACGATAACATCCATACAAAAAAAAGCTTAACATTTATTTAGATAATTCATCACCAGCTCACTAAACGTCCCCACTGGGGGGCTTAGATCCTACGCTAATAAGGGGTGACTAGGCCATAATCAACCACGCTAGCCCACTGCGGGTTGGTTAATTTCACACATATCTTTTGAATTGCTTCGCCGATACGTGCAGGTTACATTACAATGTTTTCCTTTACCGTAAGAAGTTTTTATAATTAATTTTTAAAAATACATCATTAAATTAAGAGCTTGTACTCACAATATAGTACTGAGGTCATATTAATTTATATACGGACTTATTTTAATGCTGATGACCACAAGAAGTAGATATGGATAGATGATCCTAAGTTTTTCTGTAGGACTTTACGATCCAGTTTCTCTAGGTCTTACGGTCATCTAACGATCTCTACTTCTTGTGGTTTTCTGTGAGGCCGTGATATTTTACCGATTAGGTCAGCCCATTCGGAAACAAATGTTGGTTTGCATGCTTCATCACTTTTATTGATGTGATAAATGGGGGATGAAAATGGGAAAGGAGTCAAAATATTACGAGTACAGTTGTCAGGCAGAAAAATCTGTTTAAAATATTCAATAAGGAAGGTTTACACCGATCTTTACAAAAAAAATGCTGTCATAGAGTTACTAAGAAAGGGCTACGCCCAGCTTTTAACGTCTTTTTTTCGTTTAATTACATACGAAGAAAATTAAATCTGATAAAAGGAGAAATTAAAAACTTAATTCAAATTGAATGATAGTTTGATTAGCATAATGACAACGGAAAACGACCGACCCAGGCCCTTACCTTTAAGTCTCGTGGGAAAACCTTCGGAAATCGCGGTTTATTCATTTCTGCCCAATCATGGATGTAAAAGCTTCATAAATTTGTAGATGTTTTATTAATTTCAAGTTCTTACCAAAAATATGTATAATTTAATAAAGTACAAAATTTTTGTTATTATAGATAAAGACATTCCGTTTATTGTATATTAAAACAACTGTTTAAAATATTATCAAGATAAGCAATCAATTAATTGAAAAATGTTTGAATTTATAAAATGGCAACTTTACCTAAATGCTTAAAAGAGTAAAAAAAACATGATACACATTGTAATCGCGTAAAATAAAAAAACATAAAAGTTAAACACATTACGTTAAAAATTACTCACCACGAAACAAGTTAATCCTTTTAAATTCACAAAGCTTCCCACAATAAAAACCACTAAATTAATTCTGAACGGTTCACTTTTAAAATCCCTGTAAAGCACGATTTAAGTTTTTAATTCTGAAAGCTCGTGGAGATCGTCACAAACGTAGGCACGTGCGTCCACCGTGACGTCTAAAGAGGGACTGAGTTCACACTAGCAGAATAAGGAGGCACATCTATATTACGCCCTCGCTAACGAGAGAGGAAGGAGGTTCGATAAACTCTTTAGATGGCACATTAAAGATTCAACTGGTGATAAATTTATTATTTTTTAACCTTATTTATTTCAGATTGGATATTTATTATTATAAGATCTTTTAGAAAATGTTGGTAAGTATTATTTTACAAAAAAATTATTAGAAGTTTTCGCTGTAAACATTAATTTGTACTTCAGCTGTAATAAAAAGGTAAGTAGTAGTAATGTACTAAAATGTTGTTTGAAACTTATGCCAAAAATTACTGTAACAACATTGTCATTTTGCTTACCCGGCAATGGCGATGTTTTTTCCCTTTCAATTTAAGGCTTGTGTTGAATTAGGAAAGGTAGCTGCAACGTTCGCTTCGCTATTTCGGCGAATCCCAGCGCTAGCTTGCTCGTTTGCCACCTCCTAATATAAAAAAGACGAAAAAGAATTAATTATATTACATAAGCGGATAAACGCTTTCATAACATTTTAATTAAAAAATAATCCCGAAAGCATCCGCTTCATTCCAAGTGATTTATTATTGCCCTGTTGCGTTACGTAGCGAATGTAAAATTTAATTACGCAGCTATCGTCTCTCTGCATCGTTTCCTCATTTCTGAGAATCATGACCTCTCTTCTTGACCATCTCTCTCTCTCCTTGTCATCTTTGATGTTTATCCATTCTGAAAAAATCTTAAGTATCGTCCCTAGAGTGAACATGCTTGAATGAATTCTTTACTTAAAAAAAGAATAAGCTATTTCTGTATTTTGAATTATCTTTCAAGCAATTCATCCATCTCTTTCTAGGTCTACCTCTACCGGTGTACCTCCACATTCATAACTAACGTTCGTACGTCTTGTTACATGCGATTCATTCCTTCTCATAACATGCCCTCTTTTACTCCCTATTTCTCAACCACTGGTGCTATTCTCAAACTTCCTCTGTATACTCATTTCGTATCTTAATTGTATGCTACAATATACTGAAGCGAAGTATACAAATTGAATAAAGCATGGTGACATATTTTGTGTTGAGAGCTTGACACTTTTTACTAAAGAAAACTTTACATTTCACGAAAACACATTTGTCTTTGAAAAAATTGTGAAATAAAATAGTTTTGATATTCATCTTGGCCAGACATCTTTTACAAAGGTTTGGAATATCGCCAGATCACATAGCGGTGTTTGTTAAGTCAGAGTGGTTTTAAATTCAATACTTTGGCAGACGTGGATAGTTTGGTATTAAGAAAGCATTGACGTTTGTAGACAAACTAGAAACATTGTACATGTCTTCAAAATTACTACCAATACTGAAATTAATAACAGTAAAGGGACGGCTGTGAAATTATGGAAAACTAGTGTTGCTTGCGACTTGTTCCGCGTGAAATTAAAAATAATAGTAAAAAATATAGCCCATGTTATTCAACGATAACGTAGCTTTTAAAAGGTGAAAGAATTTTTGAACTAGGCCCAGTAGTTTTCGATTTATTCCAATACATACGAAAAAAATCCTCTTTATAATATTAGTATAGATGTAAATGAAATAAGAGAGAAATTAGTTATGCGTTTAAAGAATCAACATTTACTAGAACGTAGTTAAATTAATATTCATCAACAAGGAGAAGTATCTAATCTTACTAATATGTATGTTTGGATGGATGGATGTTGGTTAGAGATTATAGCCTAAACAGCTGCACGGATTTCGATGAAAGGTTTAGATATAGAGGATACTCTGATAGAATTTATAGGCATTTTTTATAACATAAGGTGGCAAACGAGCAAGCGGCCACCTGAATCCACCGAAATGGCAAGCGACCGCTGCCCATAATCATCCGCAATTGCAGATTCGCTGCCTACCCTTAATTGACGGAGGAGGAGACGCACATAAAGAGGACATTTCCCCTTCCTATGCGTCTCCTCCACCGTCAAATCTACTTTTCCTCCCTATCTTTCACTCTTAAAAAAGGGTGGAAAGGGAAAGGGACTAAAATTTGGCCTCCGGCACCACACTCCTCAGACGAAACGCGGAATTGCTTCCACTTCACGCCTGTTTTCTGTGTGGTCGTGGTCGTGGTCGAGCCGGCCCATTCATGCGAAGATGTTAAAGCGGGCTCTACCACTGTTGAAGGCTACTCACTTTTGTTTTTTCACAAAAATATAAAGTGGAAAATCATTTTCAATGTTAAAACAAAGCTTTTATAAACCAACAATAATACGAGTACGTTTCGTGTTAACTTTAAAACTTCACGTATAGTTAATATTGACTTTATCTTCTAGAAAGTTTAGTAATGTAACAAATAATATTGGTTTCGCAAAACAGCTGCCAATATTTGCAAATATTATCAAACTGGTTATTAACAAGGATTTCAATTAGTAGCAAAATTCAACGTTGATATTGCTTATAGGAGATCGATATATCAACGACATTCAGGGTTCGGTTTTCAAACCAAAGATAGTATACAATTTGTACAGATCTATTTAATACAGATAAAAAACTATAGCTTTTACCCGCGACTTCTTCTACATTAAAAAAAAACTCGTAAGTATATGTGCCTATCCAGACAATTCACATCTTTGCCCAATTTCATCGAAGCCCGTTAAGATATTTTGCATTAAGGTAGTGATAAACATTGAATATTTAACTAGGTTTCGGCCCGTGACTCCGTCTGCGCGGATTTTAAAAATCTTAGTAGCCTATGTGTTCTTTGAGACTACGTTCTACATCGTTGACAAACATCGAGATCCGTTTAGCTGTTAACGGTGTGAACTCTAACAAACATCCATCCATCTAAACTTTCGCATTTATAATAATAGTTTTATGCAGAGAGATATGATCTCGAAACACGAAGCGTAGATACATGATCACTCAGTCTTGGTACTTGATACACGATCCCCCAATCTTGGTACTTGCTTATAAATCTTAATAAAGTATAATCAGCTGTGGTAACACACGGGATCACTCAACAACCGTCACAAAGAGTAAACAGTCAAGACATCTAAAGACTCTATTAAACTTTTGTGATTTGAAACTTTTCGCATTACAAGTTACAAAATGTTTTACTCTGTGGAGTTTAGTACTTTAAAGTACACATAATTTTGGTTGTCAAAATCATTTACTATGCATTATTTATAAGTCGCAATAAAATATTGAAAGTTTTAATAAAAGTTATTAAGTATTTTTAAACTATATTTTTTGATAAAAGGTTTTTGTCTTCCAAATCAATTATTCGTTTTTTTTCTATTATAAGGCGGCATACGAGCAAGCGGCCTCCTGAATCTGCGATGTCAAGCGACCGCTGTCCATAGACATACGCAAATGCTGATGCGATGCCTACCCTTAATCGACGGAAGGTGAGACGCACGCAAATATGATATCTCCTCTTCCTATTTCATTTTCTCCGCTGTCAAATCCACTTTTTCTTCTCTTACTAAGGGTGGAACGGAAGAGGGACCAAAATTAGGCCTCCGGCACCATGCTCATCAGATGAAACGCGGAACTGCTCCCAATTCACGTCTGTCTTCTGTGTGGTCGTGTTATTCCACCTGGTGAACCGATCCTACAGTGCGAAGATGTTAAAGCGGGCTCTGTTAAATTTATTTTAGATACTTTTCGAGCAATCATTTTTATCATAAAAGAACCCCAGTAAATACAATTCTAGTAAATTGTATGTAATAAAAACATGTAGTCTAACGAATCATTTGCAGACGACAGAACACGCTCGTTACTTCGTAAATGTTACTTATAGCTTAATGCTGAAAAATTGCAATTTATATTTCATATTCCCGAGCGAGATTTCGAAAAACGTAAATAGTATTTTGTTGTTGACAAAAAAACTACTAGAATAAAGGTATGAAAAGGTTACAGAATTAAGTTCAAATGCCTTTATAATGTTTTGACCACGTACTCGTCAGTACTTATAAACAAAGAGAGCAAAAATAACCCCAAATTTCGTCACGCGATTTTAAGCTAAACTATTTAACTACGCCGTAGTCTTTGACTCCAAAAATCAAACAAAAATGGGAGCCACCTGCAAGTACTACCTTTCGGATAAAAAGTTAACTATCAAAATCGGTCCACTAGCGGTGGAGTTATGCCGTAACACATATAAAAAAACATACAGACGAATTGAGTACCTCCTTCTTTTGGGAAGTCGGTCAAAAATATGATTACTACCTCTTTCATGAAGCATATCACCTTTTCAAAGGCCAGCAACGCATCTGTAGTTCTTCTGGTATTGCGGATGTCCATAGGCGATGATCACCTCTATGTCTATGTTGCTGCTGCTCGATTAACCCCTTCTCTTCCAAAAATAATAACAATATAGTTTTTTTAAATGTACAAATATAATCTTGTTATCTAAAATCTCTCTCATCTGTTGCCCTTTTAAATGGTTAACCTTATTACCCTTTGAAAACTTTTCGCTTTCTCTAAACTTTTTCTTCGGCGCCTGATAAAAAAATCAACAATCAACTTTTCAGGGTAATGGAATATTTTAGCAATGCGGAAACTTCTTTTTATATCTTTTTTATACGAACAAACTTTAGTTTTATAAACTTAGTTTTTTGTTTTATTTCAAACTATTGTTATTATTTTACATGAAAGGGAATTTATGCCTAATCATAAAGGTAAATTTTTCAGTGTTATAAAATAAATACAGCATTATTTTGAACATCGAATTATTAAAGTTTTACATTTTAAAATTACTCAATAGTTGTTACTATGAACGGAAATGTTTTTCCGTTGCTTAAAATTTTAATTTAAAATGTACTTCAGCTAAGAAAACTATGTAAATACCGGTCTTTATTTAAATTGATTTACAATGCACTCAAAACTTTCATTTCGAACTGAATAGACAACATTAAAAATACAAGCTTTGAAATAAAAAGCTCAGACGACATCTTCGGAGACTGCCCTCGGCTGTCAACAGACAGGACCTGTCACACGCTTTCTGTGTAAAATAAAATCTATTAAAATTGCCACACTTTCTCGTGTATATTTTTGGTCACTATCCGTTTATAACGACGTTTCCATTTCACCTAATATTCCAGCATGACCCTAGAAGTCCGCTATATGTGACTGTTAACTTTACCTCACCTTTCGCGTAAAGTGGCAGAGTTTATGTATAGTAACGGCAAGTTGCTCAGTCCATTTCTCTATAGTCAAAGGAATCTTCAAGTGCGCTGCGTAATCAACTAATGCAAAGAACATTCACTGCTCTAAAAGTAAAGTAATTTTATAGTACTGAAAACTGAAAATTGTAAGAACTGCGCCCGTAGAAATATAAAAAGAGAGAAGAGTGACAAGGAATCCAATAAAAATTCTTATAGATTTTTCATAACGTTATTTTGTTTCGAGTAACTGAAACCACTAATGAAAGCCTATCCAATACGAGGTTTTAAAGTACTAGATTTCGCATGCGACTCCGTCCACTCGAAATTTAAAAAACTTAATAAGTAGCATATATGTTCTTCCAGACTATGTTCTACATCTATGCCAAATCTCATCGAGATCCGTTCAGCAGTTTAGGCTACAGACCAACAAACATCCATCTAAACTTTCGCTTTTAATATCAGTAAGAATTGAGACATTGTACCACAAGAAAGGTTTCAAAGCTCTTAAAGCTAACAATGATTAACTGTAGGTGCAATAAACATATTAAGGCCTGTCCCACCACTAGCTGATAGAGGCTCAGATAGCTTAAAAATGACGTCACTGTTAGATAAGGTAACAAAATCCGATATATCCATAACATATTTAACACGTTGCATTGTTATCAGACAATTTACAATTTGATGATCCAGGACTTTAATCTTTTAAATTAAGATATTGTATAACCAAAATTTTAAATAAACAGCTTTGACGAACTCATACAGTACTTACTAATTGCGACAAAAGCAAGTTTGCCGTGTAAACTGCTACAATACCCCAAGATCCCATTAAACTTTAACAATTCCTAACTTTACCCATTAAGAGTAGTAACAAATTTCGTCTCAAATTCGAAGGAATTCTTGATAGTCTCGCTCATATTCTTAAAAGGAGAATATTAAATCAAAATAATGTGACTTATCATACTAATATTATAAATGCGAAAGTTTAGATGGATGGATGAGTGTTTGTTAGAGTTTGTAGCCTAAACGGCTGAACGGAGTTTGATGAAATTTGGTGTAGATGTAGAGGATAGTCTGGAAGGACACATAGGCTACTCGCTTTTGTTTTTCCACGCAGACGGAGTCGCGAGCGAAAGTTAGTATAAAGATTCTTAACGTAACAATAAACACTATAACGACTTTATAGATACGTTATTCAGGCAAGAAATGTTGGTTTAAAAAACTCATTTAGTTTATTAACTAAACTAGTTAGTTTACTAAATAATTAAATTGTACTTCTTCAAGGTAAAAACCTAACTTATTTAAAAAGTATTGTATTGATTCGTCTAGAAGTAATAATGACATACAAACATAGTGACATTTTTAACTGAGACCATGGCCTAAAACTACCAAGTCCGTAATTATCCAAATGTGTAATGTAAAGTATCAATTTCAGAAAATCGCTCTGGATTACGTCATATATTGATATTTAATTACCTTTGCTAAGTCAAAATAAACAATCTTGCATTATAGAAACGTAAATTCGAAAGTATGGATGGATGTTACAACGTATCTCCAAAACCGCTTTACAGGTCTCAATGAAATTCCGCACATATATAGAACATAGTCTGGAAAAGACTTAGCCTGTCCCACAAAATTGTAAATTGTCTGTTATCAATCCAACGAGGAAAATATGTGACGTCATTTTTAAGCTATCTGAGCATCTATCAGCCAGTGGTGGGACGGGCTCATAGACTAAAAAAATAGTTTTTTATTTAATTCGGCGAGGATGAAATCGCGATAGACGTATCTATATAAATAAACATTCTGTAACCAAAGTTTATCCTCTGATGGTTACGATTCTGTGATAAAAAGTTTTCTGCCCAAAGAGAAGTTTAGCAATACATGTACCGTACTATGTAACTTTTTTAATTCCAGTCATTGTGTTTGTATCCCAATTCTAGTTGGCTTAGCTTCTTATTAACACTTTATTATTCTTAGAGACGTGCGTAGTGTTAGCGTTAATGAATTTTCTAACCTTTTTCTGGTAAACCTTTTTCTATACTGGATTAAGTTTTGTGTATCTTACTTAAGTTTTTAAGTATATGCTTGTGTAAAACAAATAGTGTTATTTACTAATATAATAGAATTGTTTTTGTTAAGAATATTTGCTATTATTTACTACCAGGTGCAAGAAATTATGTTCAAATTCATCAGCTGTAACTAAATTAAATTATAATATTTAAAGAAAACAAAAGACAAATACAGTATCTTACTTAATTTATTATATCAAGATAAGTACAACTAAGATATACAAAGTAACATAAAACAAGTACTTAAAAATAACCTATCAATAACATCAATAATCAATAACATCAACAATACCACAAAAATTTACTAAATTAAAGCTTTCATAAAGTAACTCTTCCATATCATAAGCTTTGTGACCACACAATAAAAATCAATTATTTCTCATAATACTAACATTTTTTCCTATACAGTTTATAACGACAATAGTTTTATTCATCTTATCACACTTTATTAAGTACAGGAACTAAACTGCCTAAGGAATCCGCGTAGTAATCAGGTTTCAAGCTTTGATGCGCCATCATGTCTTCGTAAGTATTGTTTGTTAGCACTAACAAAGTTTTAAAACCAGTCGCTCTGCCCAAACCGACATCTTGTTCAATCCTAAAATTAAACATAAAATACATTGAATAATCAGGTTTCCTATAGACTTATTATCTTATGTTTTATCTCATAAGATAGCAAAAGAGCAAGCGTCCACCTGAATTCGCCGAAATAATGAAGCAACCGCTGCCCATAAACTTGCGCGAACGAATGCGTTGTCTACTTTTAACCGACGGGGGAGTGGACGCACAGAAAGAGGAAATTTTCCCTTCCTATTCGTCCTAACCTAATTCAAATCCTCTAAGAAAGGATAGTGAACTATAAGACCTTCGGAATGCACACATATTGAAAGGCGGAATTGCGATGCGTGTCTTCTGTGTGGTCATGGTATTGCACCACGCAAGTCATTCTTGCAACATATTTTATTGTTGTGTCTAACACTTCCACCACCTTTCTTCTTTTATAATACTCATTTTGATTGCCAGAATTATCTGTAGTTATTCTTTCTCATCATGAGTTTTCGCTTTACAAAACGATTATACAATTATTGCTAATTTAAAAAAATACTAGAGTTTTGCAAGAAAATTACTTTCGCTTTAGTATCTAAGCAACAAAAGGTTAGAGGCCAAATCGAAATACAAGAATATTTTGTACAAATCTTTATCTCGCATCAAGAAAATCTCAAGTTATATAAAAGACTTACATATCCCCAATAAATAGTACTCTACTCGGATCAGTAACGGCAGCGCGTTTCATTGCGAATTCCCCGAATAATTTGCCTGGTTTACCGAACAGTGTGGGCTCGCGTTTCGTCTCTTCACTTACGATGTCAGTAAATACACCCGTGCCTGAAAACATTTTGCGTTTACACACAATTGATTACGAAAACATTGTCTACTTTTTCCTTATCTTAAACTCTTTTTTTTGTACATGTTTTCATATGATTATCAACGAAAAACTTAATAACGAATAAGATAAAACTAAAAGACTTTTTATTGTAAATTTAACTAGATGGCGTTATTTTCAAATCAAATCTTAATACTAAAACAAAATTATGTCTTTAAAGTGAAAAAAAATCATGTTTTTTGCATTGCCACCAATTATTAAAATTTAAAAGAGCTTTTTCATTAAATTCGAAGCTAATAAAGGTTCGGTAAAGATAAAAAGATAAATAAACGCCTACAGCTTTTAATAACGCTTTTACCTAAAGATAAGCTTCCGGGCTTCAAAGGTACGTATCGATCCGTTGCTCCACTGATAAAAAGCACATCCGGTCTGGCGAGGTATGTAATAGCGCGGTACATTTTGGGCAGGTTCACGTTGAAATCACTGTCGAATACCACAGCACCCACGTCCTCGTCGTCTTCCAAATATTGAATGTAGTTTGTGTAAAGTTCCGAACCGACTTCGGGCTACAAAAAAATCACATTAGTTAAGCAGCTTCTTAGGGTTTTCAGTTCAGATTACACATACTAAGGGGTTTATAATGTATAAATATCCCTTTTTTGAAAATGTAAATGTTTAAAACGTTTATTAAATGTAATAAATCTATACTAATATAATAGGAAGGTTTTTTTATTTATGTATGTATTGAAATTACTCAAAAACTGATTTTTAAAATCCTTTCACCGCTAGAAAGGTAATTTATCTGTGAGTAACATAGGCTATATTTTTTAATTTCAAGCGGGTGAAGTCGCGAGCAACAGCTACTCGTATATAAGTATAAACAGGAAACTATTTATTGTTATGGAAAACAAGTAACTGAGTTAATCATTTCCAGCTCATAGAATGTACACACGTTTATTATTTAATATATTTAGTATAGAAAATTATTAAATATACTATAAGGACATACCAAAAACCCGGCTATTAGACTAAACTATCGCACAACTGTTCAGTCGCGCTTTGATTTCTGAGCTTATATGGATGGCACCCTATTCGACTTTTAGTAAAACTAAACAGTTGAATTGTCTGCGAAACAATCGACAATCGACAACATTTATGCAATAGTTTATTCAAAGATGTATGCCCGGTTTAAAAAGTAACTTACCCCATATTTACAAGTGAATCCATAAGACTGTAACACACTCATTGTCTCAGGACAAGTGACACAGAATACTGTTTTATTAAAGTTAATCGATTTCAAGTATTCAGCTATAGCGGTAGATGGCACTGTCAGTTTCTCCTGAAAATAAAAAGGTCATTACTAAAGGTATATTTGTGAACGTTCATTTTTTCGAACCAAGGAAGGAAAAGTGGATTTGGCGGCGGAGGAGACGCATGGGAGGGGGAAGTATCCACTTTATGTGCGTATCCTCCTCCGTCTATTAAGGATAGGCAACGCGTCTGTATTTGCGTATGTCTACCACACAGAAGACAGGCGTGAAGTAGGAGAAATGCCGCGTTTCGTTTGATGAGTGTGGTGCCGGAAGCCCAACTTTAATACCTTTTCATTCCTACCCTTTTTCCTATAAGAAAAGGAACAGAAGGGAACGTGGATTTCACGGCGGAGGAGACGCATGGGAAGGGAAGATAACCTGTTTATGTGCGTCTCCTCCTAAGTTGACTAAGGATAGGCAAAGCATCTGTGTGCTTATGTCTTTGGGGAGCGTTCGCTTCTCCATTTCGGCGGATTCAGGTGACCGCTTGATCGTTTCCCACCTTATAATATAAAAAAGTCTATCATTAATTACGTAAAATATAAAAATAAGTTTAAAATTCAAATATTTTTTTAAATAGTTTGCCAAACAGTGCTTGGGTTTTTCTTTATTTGATTAATAGATGGCGCTATAAAGTAATTATGCTTACAAATCCTTGATTGATATTGGCAGCCGTAAATAAATCTTCATAGTTTTGTCGAGTTCTCAAACTGTTGTTAGAAACGAAGTGAACGGTTTTTCCCAATTGCTGCATACGTTCGAAGAACTCACCAGCTCCAGGTAAAGGTGTCTTTGCCCAAATTACACCTGCGATAATGCAATACTAAACTAAAATGAAATAAAACTAATAACCGGTTTCCCAGCTACTTTTAACCATTAGTTAACCATGAAATGTGTTTCTGTAACTACTTAACTTGAGTTTTACCGTTTTAACACACTAATGAATCACGAAGTAATGAAGAAATAAATGAAAACTTGAGAAACCCAGCATATATCTTGAGATGTTTAAACAATGACACACAAAATCTTTGATTACAGTTAATATCTGATTTCGTAATTAAATATTATTCATATATCACGTGCTGAATCTCCTTCGATATATTGCCATCTCCTTCATTCGTCATAAGAAGGAAAGAGACAGCAAAAATGACGGCAGACGGCACGGTTCACGAGCAAGGATAACATTGCTGTGAATTTATTGTTTTCAGTACTTTTTCTCGTATAATAATTAGTCTGTTTAAAATAATATATCTATGTAGAAATGCATTTGTTTTTACAACAGTAATTTATATTATCGAATTAATTTAAACTCGTATTTAATAAAACCGAATTTACGAAAACGCTATTTATATGTAAGAACCTTCAGACTTTTGGTTTCTTCGCTTTTTTATATTTTTTTGCTACAATATTACAATTATTGCTGACTTACTTCTTGATTACTGTATTTACTCGAACGTAAAGTGATGTTTGACAGTCGATCATAAAGAAAACTTAATATGTGGCTCTCTGAAACATTAACGGAGCTCCCTAGAGGGTGTATCCTAAAGCTGCCACATAAATAAACCATTAGATGTTTTTATGTCATTTTTAGGTGTCTACAATATCAATATCTCGATTAGAAACATGATATATTTTACATGTACACGCAGATAGCAATGTAATCATAGTAATTTACACTAAAGAGCACCCTTAGTAGCCGTCCAATATCCCTGACACAAGCAGATGTATAAAATGAGGCATGTTTTAGTTATGACAAAAAAGCAAACTTTTAATATTATTTTTCTAATAACATATAATTTTAAAAAGATTTTTTCTCGTTAATTTTAATACAATTATAACATATTTTTTCACTAGTTAATAATGTAACGATAACAAAACACTACTTTAATTAAAACAAGCATTTATCAACGTGAAATTCAAGAGGTTAGTCGAGCTCAATCGTTTAGTGTTGTCATATATCGATACGGGAACTGGGCATGCGCAAAATGAAATAGTGATGTAACTCACCGTCACAATCGGAGAATACATGATCAAAAGAATCTAAGAATACTTTTAAATCACTTGTATTCATAGCCATTAAATTCACCGGCTCCATTTTAAATTCACTAATATCTTATCAAACGAAAAACACGTGTGACCCTGACTTGGCCAGCCGCACAACTGTTCGCGTCATACTGAGCGTGTATACGAACGATTTTAAACACTAATCCTATGACGTCATAGCTTGGGTTTCCGTAAATGAAGGAAAAATGTTGGAATTTATGAACTACTGTATTTTATTTTGTTAAAATATACGAAGTTAAAATAGTAAAATAATATTAAAATCTATTCGATTGCTATCTAGTTCAGAGTACACATAAATATTAAAAAATATAGTTTTGTACTGGAAATATTGTAGGGAAATTTCGGGAGTTTACGTTAAAATTAAATTAAAACTTCTAATTAAAGTCAACTATGTATATTTATGATATTTATTTGTAACAATGGAATTTGGTATTTTATTATAGCCACGAAAAGTAAAAGTTTATTCAAATATTCATCATCAGCTCACTATACGTCCCCACTGAAGGGCTCGGAGCCTACCCAAAGATTAGGATAACTGGCCCATAGTCAACCACGCTGCACTGCAGGTTGACTTCACACATATCTTTGAACTTCTTTACCGATATGTGCAGGTTGCATTGCGATGTTTTCCTTCACCGTAATAACGTGGTATAAATTTTATACATATTCGAATATTATTCAAATATTATTTGACCCAGATATACTGGCGTCCTCAGATCTACATACTTTAACGTAATCTTATCAATGCTTTAAGAATGAAGGACAAATAAGTAAAGATTCATTTTATTCATAGACAGATAACATTGCCCACTTCACGCTCTTCAACAGTTAACTGACATGTGTAAATGCAACTGTTCAAAGAGACTCAAGACATAGAATAGACCCTTGCGATACTTGTGACAGTTGCGAGAATGTAATCGTAACGTTCGACAAAATTTGTTTAAGGCCTCTAAGTGTTTTATATCCTAGGGTAGGGAAAGGGCGCTGCACAAATGAAATACTTTGTCGATAACGTTACTAAAACGTTCTCTGAGATAATCGTAATATTCCTTCAGCATTCTTAGACAAAGTTAAAGCGATATCGCTGATCGAAAAGTAAAAATGTATGGAACTGACAAACATTTGATAAGTCACGGACTTGTTACGTACATATCTATACTATTGACATATATTGTATATTCTACTATCGATGTCACAATTCGAAAGTCATTATTTCTAGGGCAGTTTAGCTCCCACACGTAGACAAACAAACAAACAGTACAGTGGTAAAAAACAAACGTAACAGTGGTAGTGCCCGCTTTAACATCTTAGCACGAATGGGCCGGCACGCCCGGTGTAATACCACGACCATACAGAAGACAGGCGTGAAATGGAACCAATGCCGTGTTTCGTCTGATGAGTGTGGTGTCGGGGGCCTAATTTAAGTCCCTTTCTCTTTACCACCCTTTTCTTATGAGAGGATGGGAAGAGGAAGTGGATTTGACGATGGAGGAGATGCATAGGAAAAGGTAATATCCTCTTTATGTGCCTCTCCTCCTCCGTCGGATAAGGGTAGGCGACGCATCTGCAATTGCAGATGTCTATAGGCAACGGTCGCTTCGCCATTTTGGCGGATTCAGATGGCCGCTTGCTCGTTTGCCACCTTATGTTATAAAAAAAAAGACAATTGCACTCTTTAATTAAATCTGCCCTAGACATAGTGGCTTTCGATTATTGATAGATTCGCTAGGAGAATCGACAAAATGTGTCAAAAAGCATGAGAATGCACACGTGACTACGTGACTTATCGAATATTAAGTGATTTTCATACATTTTTGACTTTTCAATCGGTAAAATAATCGAATGTTATTTGTATAAGGGGTTGTGCGGTTAAAACTGAACGTGTGTCGAACTTCATTGTTCGATTTTTCCAAGCGTCGCTTACATCTTTCTCTTTGCTAGTATCGATCGGTTTTCCAACACCATAGTAATGACCTTGTGCCAACTATTGTTTTTGTTTTACTCGGTAGTTTGATTAGAATGTAATCAACAATAAAAAACTATCGAACGACCTTTCGTAACAAATGACGTAATGAAAGACCTATAATTTTTCTAGAAGGATGGAATTAAGATTAATGAAAGACGGGAAATATTGCGACATATTGATAAAAGATGAATCATTCTGTAGATAAGGAAATCAAAAAATTGTGAATCATTTTCATAAAACAAAATAATAGTCTAAGGTCCCTTTTCCACTAAGTATCTAACTCACCGCTTCCAATTCTATGTAACCAGTGAATACGATGCTTATATTTCAGAGTTTATTTTTAAGTCAATAAACTAAAAAACATTACTGATATTGAGATAACAGTTTTCCTTAATAACATCTAGAATTAAATTGTTCGTTTAAATTAAATGAAATTAAAAGTTTTTTTTTCTAACAAGTTTTTGCGGCCAAATTACAATAATTGTAAATTTATTTGCGAGTATAAAAACTTGTTTGTTTTTTGTTTATTTAAATTAACTCTAAGGTGAAAAGCCAAACATAGAAGCAATTGTTTTCAATTTGTGATGTTTTCGTGTTATATTATTCATAGTGGGTTAATACGCGAGGTAACTAAAAACAATAGATAACCTTCGAGATTTAAGAATGTTATTAATGAAAAAATGTATTGCGAATTCATATTTATTTCAACTACGATGATAAGGGACTAAATCATAGTAATTTTCCATCATAACAGAAGGGATGAGAAGGCAAAGAAAATTTTAAGGATATTAGTTTGTTGTATTTTAGTTTTCTAACTCCTGGTAAAATTCACTTCATCATCATCATCATCACCAGCTCACTATATGTCCCCACCGAGGGGCTCGGAGCCTACCCTAATGTTAGGGTGACTAGGCCATAGCCAAACCACGCTGGCCAAGTGCGGGTTGGTTGACTTCACACATATCTTTGAATTTCTTCGCCGATATGTGCAGGTTGCATCACGATGTTTTCCTTCACCGTAAGAACGTCGGGTAAATTATGTACATATGAAAATTTGAAAAATGGAAAATCACATTGGTACATGGCGGCGGGATTCGAACCCAAGACCTGTAGATTACAAGTCAAGTGCTTAAACCACTGAGCCACCGATGCTCTAACTTTAATAAAATTCTTTAATCTAATAAAATTCACTCACCTTTTATAAAATGTTGTAAGTATCTTGTTCGCGAATTTGCTATTTTATTTTACTAGGCTTCAAACTATAATTGAAACATCTAAAAATGAAATTCAATTTAATTGAAAAATCAAAAATGCCAGTCAAATTAAGTGCTTTTTAAAACAAGTACGTCAATTAAAATTTCTAATTAGTCGCAATAGAGTTTTAACAATTTTAACAGTAACTTTCGTTTCAAAAATTCTAACAAACTTTAGGTATTTGATTTCTAATTGGTATATTTTGTTTTAATTTGAACCGACAGCTCTATTGACCTCTGTTTTTTAGCCACAGTAAAGTTAGTTATTTTTCCGCAAATGTTTGGATCGTTAGAGAATTTAAAATAGAAAAAATATTATTAAAACGTGACTAGATAGAAGTAGTTTGTTGTAGATTAAATAGAATTTCAACTACACAAAAAAGCAATACAAATCATTATGGCGGTTAGAGAAATATTTTACTTTTATAACTAAGCAATTGGATATAAAACTAGATCTTTTTAATGATGGCTTTATTGGGTTAATTTGCTTTCTTTTTATGTTTTCTCGTTTATTATTATCGTTTATTATACTTAAAAAAACTAATTTCTGTAGACAAACAATAAAACAGTTATCTATACTAATATTGTAACTATTTCCTAGTTTAGATTTGTATTTTTGTATGTATTGAAATAACTTATAAACTACTGGACATATTTCGGAAATTCTTTCACCATTATAAAGCTACGTTATCAGTGGCTATAATTTCACTTAAACGAGGTCGAGACCTAGTATTTAATAAATCATATTATTAGACAACTTATTTAATTGATACTGTCGCTTTTAACTCAGAGCAATACTTCTCGTCAAGACTTAGGATGCGCGCCAAATCTATCCATACTTCTAGTGATATTGACCGCTGTCAGCTAGGGACGTGACGTTTATGCCGATAATCTAGAGTTGCGCCAATTCTATAGCACGGTACTAATTTTATTCCTAACAATATATATCATACTAATCATACTAATATTATAAATGCGAAAGTTACTACGGATGGATGGATGTTTGTAAGCGTTTGTAGCCTAAACAGCTGAACGGATCTCCATGAAATTTGGCACAGGTTTAGAGCATAGTCTGGAAGAACACATAGGCTACTTTTTATCCCGACAATAGTTACGGTTCCCTTGGGATTCATTAATATAGTTTTTTTAATGTTTACTCGATAATTCTACAACGGTTCAACATGTCTTACTGAAATTTGGCACAGATATAAAACAAAGTCTGGAGAATACATGGGATAAGGTTCCACCCTCAGAAATGTCCGGTTCCCGAGGGATACGTAGCTTTGTTATTTATATAGTTCGTATGTTTTCTAATACCACGCGGTCGAAGTCGCGGGCATTAGCTCTTAAAAATAGTTTTGACAAATTCTTATTTTTTGTCCTACTTCTTAAATGGTATATTACAATGTGTAATGTGATTTAAATCTGAATTTATTGAACTTGGTCGATGTCTTTAATTGATTTTATCACACGGTCACGTACATAATATCTTATCTACTTAACAATTACATTTATTGATACTGAAACATAGTAATTCGTTTCATTTTAACAAAAAACGAGATCTAAACCAGATACAGATTAGAAAAGAGTACCGACATTTAATAGTTCAAAATAATTATAGAATAAAAAATGAAAAAACCGTTTTATTTTTTTTTAATTGCGTGCATCATTTTTTATTCCTTTTTTGAATCATTCTTCAGAGCAAATTGAAACACAAAATTCTTGAAATTAGTTAATGTGGGTTCCCATTGTTATGTTATCTATACACTCATCTCTTTCGCTCTCCTTGTAGAATTGAGATAGCAATATATCGTGTGCTGATTTTTCGCAATGGAAATCCACGGTTGTTTTACTTTTCGAGATATG